ACAATTGTTTATAAAAGATGCAAGCAGCTTATCGTTAATTAATATGATAATAATTAATTTTCTGTTATTCTATAAAAAAACATATATTAATTAATATTGACGATATATAACTTTAAAATAATAAATAAAATTATATTTTTGTAACATAATTTAATATTTAATACGTAAACATTAAATAATATATTTTTATAAAAAATAAAATTTATTCTAAATAAAACTTAACAAGAATAAAATTTTTAATATTAAATTCTCACAAACAAATTGAAATAAATTAAAATTAAGTTTATTTAAAACTTAACTTTCTTATTTTGCCGTTTTAAACATTTATTTAAAACTTTCTTGTTTTATCAAATATGAAGTAGAGTCTTATAGATTTATTAGAGTCCTATAGATTTATTAGAGAAGCGCGACAAGTATTAAGCGTCCTTATTAGCGCGACTGGCAGCCAATTTAATGAGATTCATTAAAAATGGCTGACAAATAGATAATTGGCGGATTTCAAATTCTGTTAGCAAAAGATGCCATTTTTAAAACATTTTCTGGTATTTTTGCGATACTGACATAAGCTTCTCTGATATATAAGATTCTAATACGAAGAAGAACGCTAGCCTATCACGGTCAAAGTTAGATGTTTCGAATAATGCAATATATATTTTTTTAGATAATTATTAGATAATTATTTAGATAATTATTTAGAATATGGATTCTTCTCTAAGAATCTTAATAAAAATATACTCATTGAATCTTTCACTCCAAACGAAAGAATCTGACAAAAAAATACGGTGGTCGGCCTCGTGAATCGAGTTATTCAATATTAATAATTCAAGTTCGAGACATTATTAGTTATGATATCTGTCATCCCGATACTGCTCTATGTATGCGTTCTGCTTTAATGTTACAAATTCACTACTTTAAAAACACAAATTCATTGCTTTAAAAACATAAATTTACTGTTTTAAAAATAAAAATAAAAATTACTAATATTATGTAAAGATTTTGTATGCTTAAAATAGTGTAAATTTGAAACAGAGACCCTCATCTCGAAAAGTCGAGAGGTCCCAGATTGGAACTCTGGCTAATATTTTTCGCAATAAGTTCTTTACAGTTTTTAAAATTTAATTTAGGGGGATTAATAGCATTTCAAATTGATTGTGTTGAAAATCCGAAAGTTATCTGCGCTCAATCTTATCTGAAATAAAATTTATTTTAAAAGAATATATTATATTATTCTTCGCATTTGATATATTCACATATATAATCGTTTTAAAGTCTTAATAGTGTTTTTTGTTTTACATAAA